TTCCGCTTGCGTGTTGTGGGGGGTTGTGGAACAGGGGGTGTTGTTGGAGTGTCGTCTGAATCCTGTAAGGGTGGTGCTGGTGAACGGATGGGTGGTCTGGATGGTGCTGAGTCACAGGATGAGGTGGTGGATGGTAAACGTATGGGGTGAATAGGTGGAGTTGGAAGTGGCTGAAAGTGTTGGCGGAAAGTGGGGTCTGCTTGGTGGCTGTGGTGGAGGAAGACCGTGTGGAGGTGTGCTACAATATCTGTTGCTTGTCGAAGTAGGTTGTGCACCTGGGAAAGTGCCACTGCGGTTTTGTGTAGGAGAGTTGCGGTGTCGTTTTGTAGAGGTGTCAGCTTGCTGCTCATGGGGCTGAGATGTAGGGGTGTGCAGTAGTCAAGAATCGTCACAGGTTGCTGCGGCAGCGCGCCAAAGCAGCCGGAAAGCGGCGAGTCTGAGGAAGCACATCATTCCGAGGCCGTGCATATGAATTAAGCGAGCATCAAATTCCCACAGGCAAAAGGGTGAGTACGCAATGCAGATTGGACAATCGAGTACATGGCTTAAAGAATCACTCTCCACGATGCAGAAACTGACATGTGAAAGATTCCTGCAAAACAGCCGATACAATTCAAAAGATTCTCAGCAAATACTGCGGTGCTAGAAAAATGAAGGGTTCAAAATGTCCGTGGCTGCTGCAAGAGGCTCTTTTTTGCTGCTACAGCAAAGGTTGGGTGGTGGTGTGAGACCAAAAGTGGAGCTGGAGGTGGTAGTGATGTGTGGATGTGTGGCGGTGGCGTTATGGGTCCGGTGGGGTGGAGTTGGTGGACCAGGCCAGTCCTTTGACAATGGCGTGGTCCGGGTGGATCACCCAGCAGCGGCCCTTCTGATGAAAGACCGCACCATGGTGGTCGTTAAGGAGGTTCATGGCGTGTTCCTCACCTCCAGAGGTATACTTTGTGGCGGCACCCCAAGCAAGGAGTGTGATGATAAGGGAATGGGAGTTCTTGTGGAGTTGCCAGGTGTTGTGGATGATGCGGGCAAGTTCGCTGTGGTCATGGGGTTGGTTGTGGGTGATGCGAACGCCCTGGGCAAAAAATCCAGGGTAGTTGGCAAAGTGGAGTGTGCTGGGTAGAAAACGGCCTTGGCGTAGAATGTTGGAAATGTTGCCGACGGGGCCTGTGTGGCCTGCGTTGATGTGGGCAACTTCTCGGTGGGTTGATGTGGCGCGGGAAACCGCAGGTGGCTCGGGTGTAGTGGCTTTGGTGTTGAGGAAGGGAAGTGAAATGGCATAGTACTGGAATTGGTCGTATTGGTGAGTTGTGTCGTTCCACTTAGCGTGGGTGTATTGGCGGAAATCGTTGATCTCCTTGTAGGAGATGTTGCAGTCTGTGAGGATATTGGCAATGTACTGGTGTTGTGGTCTGTTGGGATTGTCGAGTTGGGTGGCGTGGAATTCGAGCCATTCCAGGATTTGGTCTGCGGGTGTGAGGGTGTGAAAGTTGGGTGGAGGTCGCCAACGGTTGAGTGGGCGACGGATGACGGCTGTGGTGGGATATTGAGAGGGATCAGGGTTCGCGTGTTTGGTGTTTGGGCGTAGATCAATGGGTTGTGGTGGGGACCGACTGCGGGATGGTGTGAGGCTAGATGTGTAGGTGGATGTGGAAGGCGAACGCCGTCGCCTGGTTTTGCTGTGGTGTTTGGAATGGTGGTGATGGCGATGTCGGCGGCGGTGGCGGTGGCGTCCTCTCTGATGATGGTCGGACTTGCGTCGGCTCTTGTGATGGTGGCGGCGACTGCTGTGTGGTGGTTGTGGGGAAGGTGGTTGTGGTGCTGGTGAGGCAGTGGTGTCAGGTTTGTCTGGTGCTGGTATTGAAGGTCCCGGTGCTGGTGTGGCAGAGACCAGTGAGGGGGGATGCTGAATGTTGGGATACGGTGGCCGGTGTGTTTTGGACTGGTAGTGGATTGTCCTGGGCAGTCGTGGGGATGGGTTGGATCGGTGGTGTTGGATCCGATGGTAGCTGCTGTTGAAATGGAGGTTGGGTTGGCGTTGAGGCAGTGGTAATTTGTGGAGGCGGTGGCGGAGGCCCCGGTTGGAGTGGAGGTTGTGTGACGGGGGGAAAGGCTGAATAGGGTTGCCAAACGCCCTGGGGGATGGCACATTGGGGGTCTGTGGATGGATAATTGGCAATCGCAGTCTGTTGCTGTGTTGGAGGGGGGATGTGTCAGTGTAGTGGGGGGAGGAAGTTCAGCTGGTGGTGCGGGATGATGTGATGGCAGCAGGTAGGACGGGGGAGGTGCTGCTGTCGGAAAAACTGGAGCTGGATGTGTGGGTTGCGGTGGCACGTGACATGGGGGGACAAAAGTCCAAGTGGATGGTGTGCTGTAGGTCAGTGCGGTGGCAGTAGGGGCGGATAAAACCGGTTGTGGTTGAAATGGTTGTGGTTGGAGGTGAGGGTATGCCGGTGGTTGTGTCGAGGGATAGGTGGGTGCAGTTGATGGCTGTGGCATCGGCCATGTGGGTTGAGGTTGTGTGGTAGGTAGTGGTGGTGGCGTGGTGTGAGCATAGGGCCACGGAAAATGCATGTCGTGGCGTAGCTATGGCTCGGCGCGGCGCGGCAGCAAAAGGCAGCGAAGAAATGCCGAGTGGTATTGTCTTGTTGTTGTTGAAGGTGTCAGCGCTGGTGTCGGTGGTGAGGATGTTGTAAGGTGGTGCTAAGCGTTCGCTTGTTGGTAAGTGTGTGTTCATGCATCTCGAATTAAGCTGAAGAGTTGCAATGCCCTTCCTTGAGTGCTGTCGATGAGAGAGTCGCGGCAGCAACATAACGAACACATAAACACGCACATGATTGGAAGCCATGAAAAGAAAAATGAATGCCGAAATCGGAAATCAGAAATTCTGAATCTGAGTAATTTGTCAAAAACCGTTTTTTGGCCCGGCGGCCGGTGTGGCAGTTGATTCAAAGTGGGGGTCGGTGCTTTCCTGTGATGTTCCAGTGATCGGTGGAGCGTTGGGGTGGTTGCTTTCCCATGCAAAAACAGCGCCCCTGTGAAGGGGATCACACTCAGCACCCGAGTGGGACGGCTGAGCAGGACACACTTCGAACTTGGATTTTCAGTTAATGCAAGTATCACGTTGGGAAGGAAGGTGAGGGAAACGTAAGGTGAAAGGTCAGCGCAACTGAAATGTTTAACAATCTGTTCACTCATCTGCAGAAGCGCGGCTGAACGTCGGCGGCTGAAAGCAGCGGTGGGAAACCTGTTTTTGGGGTGGTAGCATGAAGGACCATGAAAGCAAACCGATCAGATTGGACAGCTTGAAAAACAGTTCTTCTTGCAGGTACAGGAATGTGCGTCCACATTCCCTTCCGGCTGAATCCCGTAGCTTCGTTGGCATGGCTAGGGAAACAGCTGCCATGCCCCCTGCTTGTGGAGAAAAGGTGGTGGAAAACCCTTTGTCCAGGGTGGGACACACACACACCGTGTAGGTTTGAGTTGACGGGAGCTTTGCAGCAGCTGATTTGCTCCACGGACAGCTCCTTCAACTGATGATCTAGTTCATCCCTCTTCAAAACATGGACAGCTCAACAAGTAGCGGTGTCAATGGACCACATTGGCCCAACGTTTGCGAACATGCGGCGACCACCAACCAGCACTCGCTCTTGACTACCCAGCCGCGACCACGTGTTGTTTTATAAGCACATTTTTCAGGCAAGTATGTTTACACCAAGAAGGTTGCTCATGTCACAGCAATGAACACCGACAAGGGTGGCATCTTGCAGATTCTCTCACCATGACATCAGCTGACAGGGTGGCGGAGCTCGAGGGATGGGGGAGCTGAGATCCACAGAAACAGTGGAAGCATGGCAGTTGAGGGAAACCAGACACTGTGTGAGATGACTCTGGGATCACTTCATTTTGTGAAAGTTGGGATGCTTTGGTTTAGGCGAACGACCTGCAAGAGTCAATGCTAGGCTTGTACGGCAGTGAGTTCAAAGTAGACGCACGATCTCTCGCAGGCAGACCACGGTTTTCACTTAAGCCCCATGACACACACACACAATCACACACGTGTACGACATACATCGACATACATACAGAAACCTTCTCAACTTGAGTGACGAAAGCCATATCTGGTGCATTGGGGCCGATCTTTTCAAAACCTAGTTGTGAAGGGTTCCTCCCGATGCGTTTTGGCCCATCAGCACAACGCCTCTCTGGGTAAGACGACGGCGGCATCTGAGGCACCTGGTGAGACGAGTGCGCTGAGCTCTCGAGTGGCGCGGGGGTGAGGGGGTGCCCAGTGTGAGGCAGGCGATCCTTTGAGTGGTCCCGAAATGGAGACGATGTCACACATTGGCACAGGAGCGAGGGAAGTTTTACTACCATGCAGTTCTATCTGATTTGGGGACACTTTATAGGGGGCAGTATAGGTGGCCCATGCAATTTTTAGTGCATCTGAAGATGTTGCCATGATGGGGTGTGAGCCTGCCATGCAGTCAGAATGCTTCACTCATCGAAGGTACGTGTTTTCACCATCGTTCAGTACGCTCTTAACTCTTGACTGTGGACCCTGGCATCCTGTGCAACTTGAATCGCAAAGTCTCAAAGTGGTCCTTTTCTTCTACTTGAATCATGTTTGGCAACCCAAAGTGCAAACTGGGTCTTCACAGGCAATTGGTGCAGTTTCTGAGAGGGACTTCCACAGATTTTTCATGAAATCCAATCAGATGTGAGGGTAGTTGGCCTTTTTTGACCCCACATTTTCCCTGTCTTCGCCCGCTTCAGCTCAAGTCAGACATACTCGGGTGCGCCTTTCAATTGACAAAATGTATGACGTGCAGCACTGTGGCACTAGGAGTTTTCTATGCCGCGGAACCGCAAGAAGATTCGGCGGAGTCACTTGACACGGGGTTTGATGGAACAGGTAGAACCTAGAGTTGTCCAAGGCGAATTTCCCCTTGCAAGACATGTACACCGAAACCGCACTGGATAGAGTCGCTGGCCTATACTTTCATTTTGCTCTTGTCAGACTGCTTTTCTTCTGCGAGTCATGCGTCTCAAAGCAAGACATTTGACCGCTGGCTGTGCTGCTGCTGGCCTTTTGGCTGTCTTGACCCCTGAGCGGCGCCAGAGGGTTCACCATTGTGCCCTCAGTGGGCGACGTGCCCTGCGTGCAGCTGTGTGTGCGGGGCGGATTGCCGCGCGGTACAAGCGCTTGGGCTCATGTGCTGACCACTTAGATCACGTACTCACCAGGAGTCTAGACAGCTAAGATCAGCTGACTGAGACAGAGCTCGTGGTGGACCCATCCCACAATTCACGGCAATTCAATTGGCATGGTTGGAACTTAAGCTTCACCCCTAACCGAGCCACACCCTTCTAGACCATCAGCAGCCCACCAGTTTCTTGACGAATTGACCCCTGGTAGCAAGGCATGCCTATGGACATGCCAATCCATTCAGGCTCTCCACCTCTTCCAGGACCCTCCTCCCTCACAGACGGACAGTCACCCCCCTAACTTTGGCCTTAGAACAGCCACACTTCATGGATGTTCCCTTCTCGGGAGAGGACTGTGCCCAGCTGGCGCTGGAGATGTGCAGCTCCAACGGTGGCATCTTCGTCAAGATGGGCCAGCACGCCGCCACGCTGGCGCCCGCAGTGCCTGCGGAGTACGTGGAGCGCTTGGCGCAGCTGCAGGACCGCGCGCCCGAGAGCACGTGGGCGGAGGTCCTCGAGGTGCTGAACACAGAGCTGCCGGGAGGTGCGATTTGGAGACGGTGGAGATGGTGGCGGGTGGCGGGTGGGGCTAAGAATTCATAGTTGTTGATGCGAAGTGCAAGATGCAAAAGCTCTTAGATGCTTTTTTCAGTCCCTCATATCGAACCAACCTTAAACAGTTTCTTTAATTTACCCCTGCCCTTTTTCAAGCCCCGTTTGGGCCCATGAAGCCACATGAGCTTGGCACCGGGCGCGAGCGCCGCGCGAGCGCCAGGCACCACAGCCTCGTTGGACTTCGATGCAGCACCTGTGGGCAGTGCCTCCCTGGCGCAGGTGCATCGTGCCGAACGGCGCGGCACTGAGCGCGAGGGCGCGGAGGTGGCGGTGAAGGTGCAGCATCCGAACATCCAGGCGGGTTCCAGGCGACGCATGGAGGGCTTGGTTCCAGGTTGAGAGGAAGCGCAGAAACAAGACATAGCAGATATCTAGGATCATAGCAGTTGGCAGTTCATCCACTCCCTTCCCACAATATGCGTGGACATGCGAGGGTGTGCGTGTGTGTGTGTGTGTGTGTGTGTGTCACCCCCTGTTCCGAAGGGACCACCGAGTTTCGAGTCA